TATATAACTATCCTAACAACCACATAGCAACCATCCTGAATACCCTAGTAACGATGACTTAGACACACCCTAGCAACACCTTAACGACCAGAGAGACAATTATTTGCCCTCACACACAAAGTTCTGTCCTTTAAACAAAGAAAAATGCCAATTAATAATAAATGTGTTTAGATTCAACTGCTCCAGCTTTTAAATCAACAAGTGAGGTTGAATTGTATTAAAAACAGAACTAAAATTGATAAAGTAAACAAGCATAAGTTATATGATCCCCCAAATTATTAGTTTAATAATTATCTATAGGCAAACTGATCTAAATTGTTAGCAACATGAGCTTTTAACAAAGAGACAATGCACCAGTAACCACCCAGAACACCCTAACAGCCACATAGCAACACTTTAGCAACTACCCAGGACACCCTAGCAAAGGCCTAGCAATGCCCCTGCAGATACACAGGGCACCCTAGCAACCACACAGCAATCAATTCATCCTAAAACCTTCAACTCTGAGCTTTAGAAATTTATTTAAATGTAAAACGGCTTCAAACTTCAGGATTTATAAAAGTATTTCACACATAAAACTGCTTCAAAATCTATATAGCTAGATATATATCCTTCTGACGTAAAGCTATTAAATCTACTTCAAACTTTATTGTCAGGCTTCCTCAAGTCAACATACATTTTTTGACAAACTTTTTTTTTTAAATCTAGTAATATTTAAGTAGAAAAGGTAAGCCTTTCAGAGTTTAAAAAGTCTGATGGTTAATTAATTCAAATATTATAATAATCAAGAATACCAAATCAGAATCTTGAATCATTTGGAATCACAAAATGATTCTTGATTAATTATTTTCAATATATCAGCAGTCAGCACACCCAGTTTCTGTTAAAAAAATAAAAGAGTTTGAAAACAAGCAGCATGGTCATACTTGCAGCAGAAATACTAAAATAAATACTTAAGCCAACATGTGGGGTCTTTGAATAGTGTTGGACAAACGGGGGCCAAAAGTTCAAGTCAAAAAGTTTGAGAACCACACACACATACACGTACTTGCATTTGTGGTTTACAGGGACTCTCCATAGGCATAATGGTTTTTATACTGTACTATTGCCCTACACCAACCCTACACCTAAACCTTACACCTACTCCTTACAGAAAACTACTGGCAATTTTTGATTCGTTTTGTATGTTTTTTAAGCCTTTCGTTTTACGGGGACACAAGAAGTGTCCTCATAAACCATGTTTACCTTGTAGTACCCATGTCATTATACACATTTGTCTCTTTCTCATACACAAAGAGAGAGAGAGATCAAATTAGTTTTGTAGAATGTTATCTTTTAAGGCATTTCAATATTTGAAATTGGTTAGGCTACTTTAGAAAATTAAAGATAAGTGTACATGTAAATGGAACAAATATACTTGTCTTTGTGAACAATATGAACTATTTATAGTATTGATCATAATTTCTTTAGAAGACAAATAAAAGAACTATCACATAAAAAAAAGGTTTTGTGTGGTAATACAAAATAGCTCCAACCACACGGTTCTTTCCGCAGGGTGGCGCACGTGCATTAGCTGGACTTCATTGCGCCCTATCCTCTTCCTCCAGACTCCTAGAGGTCGCCATCCGGAGGAATCTCTCACTGCTCTGCTGTGTGCCGTGGAGTGTGAGAGGCGCTCAGAGAGACTCAAAACAGTGAGGCGGAGCTGGGAATGGATCAGCGACTGAAGCCTGACTTAACTCAGAACCTCCACACACTCGCTTACAAGAGCAGGAAATTCCCCGGCAGATAAAGCCCAGGAGGGGCGTCGAGCGCGTCCTAAGGCTAACCAGCTATATGAGGAGGATAGAGAGGCTTGTGACGGATCGGTCCGGACTCGATATCAGGACGGGCAGTAGAGGAGCACAAAGCCGGTGGATTGTCTCTGGAGCGGCTGAGATCAGCCCAGCCCCCCCCCCACACATATACACACACACACACACACAACCGGCCTGCTGCTCTTAGCCTGTTGCTGCAGTGATCTCATCATAACAGCCCTCGCATATCTCACACATCTCAGCGACATACGCGTCTGTAAGTAGTTTCGAGTTGTTTTTGTCTTTGTTTAGAGGCTGGCTTGTGTGTTTTGTAGCGGTTGGTGGTCTATAGCGCTCTGCAGCTGGCTAATCAGTTAGCTGTAGCATACCGTCGTGTGTACAGTAGCCTCACTGGCACGATGTAGTTTGATTATTGGACCTCATTTTATTATTACAAGACAAAACATGTGTGATAAAAGAGCGCGTGACATGAATCAACAAGTTTGGCATATTTAAACTCCGCTTCTTCTCCATGCTAACGCGGAGTCACTTAACGTTATTCCGAGCGACATAATCTCATGTTGATAGTAATAATATTATTGGAAAAATCCCAATGGTGGGATTTAGTTTAGGACAAAAAACATGCTCCTCATACATTTACTTTGTGTCACCTACTGTGAAAGATTTACATTTTTAACAGTCATTATTATTTGCAGGGTTTTGTTTTGTAATTTTGAAGAAAAGATGCAATTTTCCCCTTTCCAACCCTACTTTTTTACAAATGGCAACTTTTTTCCCACTAACATTGTGTTCAGACCCTAAACATTGTGTTGGTGACATTGGTTCTGGCTTTACCAAAACAATAAATTTCTCTAATATGCAGTGTTGTCCCAGTCTTTAATATGGATGGTTGGATGAGGTCTTGAGGCTTAAGGCACTTCCCTGATGTACGTCACACACACACACACACACCATTATACGCACAGTAGAACATAAAAGTTTAACTTGAGATAATTGCTGGTGATTTCGTACCAGGAAATGTTTGGAGTTTAGCATTTACTGCACAAAATTAGCATTTGCCTATTTGTGTACAAAATTATGAAATTAAAACTAAGTATACAGATACTATGTAGAGTATCACTTATCAAACTACGAGTATGAACTTTTTGACTAAGGGTTGAAACCAGCTAAAGTGCATGTTGTTAGCATGTTAATGCTGATTCATATTAAAATCCCTGTATGCTTTTGTGTTTAGTGGGGATATTTCTCATCCCTGGCTGTTTTCTCCCGGTGAGTGTAAGTTTAGATGCTTAGAATTCAGAGTTCCTTTGCTCTAGTATGTTCAAAGTGCTAGAAGCCAACCCAGCTGGCTGCTTAGTCATAACTCATTTACATACAATGCTTTCAAAGTGTAGTATTACAGTCAGAGTGTGTTAGAAGTGTATCACTGCTCCAGTCCAAATAGTTAGGCTTAAAGACATTTTTAAGTGAGAAATTGATTTAAATTAAACGTCAATATTTTAGGTAATAATGATCTGACAATTATCTATATAACTATCCTAACAACCACATAGCAACCATCCTGAATACCCTAGTAACGATGACTTAGACACACCCTAGCAACACCTTAACGACCAGAGAGACAATTATTTGCCCTCACACACAAAGTTCTGTCCTTTAAACAAAGAAAAATGCCAATTAATAATAAATGTGTTTAGATTCAACTGCTCCAGCTTTTAAATCAACAAGTGAGGTTGAATTGTATTAAAAACAGAACTAAAATTGATAAAGTAAACAAGCATAAGTTATATGATCCCCCAAATTATTAGTTTAATAATTATCTATAGGCAAACTGATCTAAATTGTTAGCAACATGAGCTTTTAACAAAGAGACAATGCACCAGTAACCACCCAGAACACCCTAACAGCCACATAGCAACACTTTAGCAACTACCCAGGACACCCTAGCAAAGGCCTAGCAATGCCCCTGCAGATACACAGGGCACCCTAGCAACCACACAGCAATCAATTCATCCTAAAACCTTCAACTCTGAGCTTTAGAAATTTATTTAAATGTAAAACGGCTTCAAACTTCAGGATTTATAAAAGTATTTCACACATAAAACTGCTTCAAAATCTATATAGCTAGATATATATCCTTCTGACGTAAAGCTATTAAATCTACTTCAAACTTTATTGTCAGGCTTCCTCAAGTCAACATACATTTTTTGACAAACTTTTTTTTTTAAATCTAGTAATATTTAAGTAGAAAAGGTAAGCCTTTCAGAGTTTAAAAAGTCTGATGGTTAATTAATTCAAATATTATAATAATCAAGAATACCAAATCAGAATCTTGAATCATTTGGAATCACAAAATGATTCTTGATTAATTATTTTCAATATATCAGCAGTCAGCACACCCAGTTTCTGTTAAAAAAATAAAAGAGTTTGAAAACAAGCAGCATGGTCATACTTGCAGCAGAAATACTAAAATAAATACTTAAGCCAACATGTGGGGTCTTTGAATAGTGTTGGACAAACGGGGGCCAAAAGTTCAAGTCAAAAAGTTTGAGAACCACACACACATACACGTACTTGCATTTGTGGTTTACAGGGACTCTCCATAGGCATAATGGTTTTTATACTGTACTATTGCCCTACACCAACCCTACACCTAAACCTTACACCTACTCCTTACAGAAAACTACTGGCAATTTTTGATTCGTTTTGTATGTTTTTTAAGCCTTTCGTTTTACGGGGACACAAGAAGTGTCCTCATAAACCATGTTTACCTTGTAGTACCCATGTCATTATACACATTTGTCTCTTTCTCATACACAAAGAGAGAGAGAGATCAAATTAGTTTTGTAGAATGTTATCTTTTAAGGCATTTCAATATTTGAAATTGGTTAGGCTACTTTAGAAAATTAAAGATAAGTGTACATGTAAATGGAACAAATATACTTGTCTTTGTGAACAATATGAACTATTTATAGTATTGATCATAATTTCTTTAGAAGACAAATAAAAGAACTATCACATAAAAAAAAGGTTTTGTGTGGTAATACAAAATAGCTCCAACCACACGGTTCTTTCCGCAGGGTGGCGCACGTGCATTAGCTGGACTTCATTGCGCCCTATCCTCTTCCTCCAGACTCCTAGAGGTCGCCATCCGGAGGAATCTCTCACTGCTCTGCTGTGTGCCGTGGAGTGTGAGAGGCGCTCAGAGAGACTCAAAACAGTGAGGCGGAGCTGGGAATGGATCAGCGACTGAAGCCTGACTTAACTCAGAACCTCCACACACTCGCTTACAAGAGCAGGAAATTCCCCGGCAGATAAAGCCCAGGAGGGGCGTCGAGCGCGTCCTAAGGCTAACCAGCTATATGAGGAGGATAGAGAGGCTTGTGACGGATCGGTCCGGACTCGATATCAGGACGGGCAGTAGAGGAGCACAAAGCCGGTGGATTGTCTCTGGAGCGGCTGAGATCAGCCCAGCCCCCCCCCCACACATATACACACACACACACACACAACCGGCCTGCTGCTCTTAGCCTGTTGCTGCAGTGATCTCATCATAACAGCCCTCGCATATCTCACACATCTCAGCGACATACGCGTCTGTAAGTAGTTTCGAGTTGTTTTTGTCTTTGTTTAGAGGCTGGCTTGTGTGTTTTGTAGCGGTTGGTGGTCTATAGCGCTCTGCAGCTGGCTAATCAGTTAGCTGTAGCATACCGTCGTGTGTACAGTAGCCTCACTGGCACGATGTAGTTTGATTATTGGACCTCATTTTATTATTACAAGACAAAACATGTGTGATAAAAGAGCGCGTGACATGAATCAACAAGTTTGGCATATTTAAACTCCGCTTCTTCTCCATGCTAACGCGGAGTCACTTAACGTTATTCCGAGCGACATAATCTCGTGTAACTCGACGAGGAGCTGTTTATGCTGCAAAACTGTGTACGGCACATAAAATATGTGTTTTATTGACTTCACGCGGCTTATGTTGAACCAAACTGAATCTGCTGAGTAACTCGGCTTGTGTATGAGGAGATATTTAATGGAAGGCTGACTGGACTGATCATCTGGTTGTCCCCTGCTATCATTGGAGTTAGTGTACATTTGCAGGAGAATCGTTCGCACAGGGACTTTTATTTGACTGGTTTTGGTGGATAAAGCCTGGGAGTTAGACGCGCCAGGACCAGCCTGGATCCCCATCATTTGGCTGCTTGAGTGAGTCCCCAATGCGGAGGGGCTGAGTGCTCCGGGACATGCTGAAGTGTATCCCGCTGTGGCGGTGTAACCGTCACGTTGAGTCCGTGGATAAGCGGCACTGCTCGCTCACTGCGGTTCCCGATGAGATATACCGCTACAACCGCAGTCTGGAGGAACTGCTCCTGGACGCCAACCAGCTGAGAGAGCTGCCCAAGGTAAGACGCTGCTATTTACATTCACGTGCGGCTTCGTGCATGCATCTCTGCTTGCCAGCCTCAATTGTAAATTATGCATAGAGCTGTAGCTGTTGTGACGTTGACACACATGCATGTGGTTAAACCGTGGCTCTAGTTTCAAGGTTTCCCACGGTCATAGAAAGCTTGAAATATCAGGGAAATTTAAGTCACTTTATGTTTAGGTGTAAGATGTTTCATGGGCTAGGAGTTTTCTCTTTTGTGTTCTCTTGGTGTATTTGTGTCACTCTATAAAGTGATTTAGGGGAAGACACCACCGGTGAATAGCTTACATTTTGAATTCAAATATATCATAATACTTAAAGGTAATAGTTAAAGGTATTTCAGGTATTGGTATTGCAGAGGGGAATACTGTCAACAGACAGAAAAATAAGAAATTTCACCATTTTTAGGAATAAAATGAATAAAAAAATCAGGAGAATGATGTATGAACAAAGCCCTCTCTGTAAGAAAAACAACTTGGATTGGAATAAAATTGGAAAGTTTTGTGTATGTGCTACTGTAAGTGCAACTGACCAGCTCATGAGGGAAAAAAGCTCATTTTGAGAAAACAGCCATTAAATATATATATTGTAATTGAAATCTACAGATGCAGTTATATAAAGTGTATTAAATTAAATGCTAAAATGTGTTTTACATGTTTTACATGTCCTTTCACTAGTCTGACAGAAGACATGGTATGAATACAAAATAGCTCAAAATTGACCAGAGCATGAAAAAACAGGTTTTGTCAGTAGTGGTTTTTTTTAAGTTCTTATCTAGTAATCTGAACAGTTGGAAAAGTAATTGGAAGAGTAATGGCAATTTATTGTTCAAAAGTTGTGGGAATTATTCTGTACTGAGGTTGAAATAACAGTTGTCTATAGTACGTATTCATGGAGTATTTGATGCCTTGTTTGTAGATTTTGTGAGATGTTGCAAGCATATGCTCTGTCCCACACTTAAAAAAATGAAGAAATGGCAAAATAGGCTGCTGTCTAAAATTGACAGTCTAGCCTCCTTTGGGGGCACTTTAGCATGTTACACATCTGGCGCTAAACAACGCTAAAAGCTGATTGCTCTGTCCTTTTAATTTGGATTTCCTCTGTGTTCTGTTAATGTGTGTGTGTGTGTGTGTGTGTGTGTGTGTGTGAGAGAAAGAGATCCTGCTGACTTGGCTGTGAATCAAGTCCAGTAGTCTCTACATACAGTAAACACACAAGGAGTATTTTTTTTTTACCTTGAGCATTTACATACGCTCATAAGAATCACGAAAGACTGTTGGTGGGTTGCCAGAGCTAGCGTTCCCTAAAGTACACTGATAGCAAAATAAGCAAATATGCTTGATTCAACATTAAAACTACTGTATGCCGTTGACAACTACCGCCCAGTCATTTGAAGAGCTCTTCTGTAGGCCGTATAATGCCAGGACTGTTAGCATAGCCTCATTGGCAGAAGACTCAATCTGTGTTAGTCAGTCTACAGTCAGCATCACTAACAGGGCTAGACAGAATGGCACAGGATCCTCTTGACCGTGATGTGGAATAGCTGATCCGAGCGGACAGATCAGGCCCTGAGCTTGGAGGTCTGTGTATGTGTGTGTATACTGTGTGCAGACAGTTGGCATATGGCTTCCCCTCACCCTGTGGCAGAGAGAGAGTGAAAGAGAAATGAAAATTCAGGGCAGCTCATGTCTGAAAAAAGAGGTCTGGAGCATTAGAAGTGGTCGACTGATATGTCTCATACAGAGGTTTAGGGAGGTTGTTGGCCGATGTCCAATATATCCCTAATACAATTGTTTTCTTATATAATTTAATAGTAGGTTGGCTGCAAACACAATTGCTAACTTTAAATGAACACTTTAAACAGTTGATTGGCACTAGTTACAACACATTTACTCAAAGTTCACAGAAAATTTGTTACACATTTTTTATTTATTGGTATCAGTAGATATTAATAGAAAAAGAGAAATTAATACGTTTATTTAGCAAGGATGCATTAAATAGCTCAAAGGGGACAGTAATTTACATTGTTGCCTAAGATTCTTTTTAAAATAAATGCTTTCCATTCATCAAAGAATCCTGAAAAAGTGTGTCAGTGTTTCACGAAAAAATATTAAAGGGGTCCTATTATGCTCTTTTACAATGTCTTGAATTTGTTTTGGGGGTGTACTAGAACATGCTCTCATGCTTGTTGGTTCGAAAAATGCATTATTTTTCACATAATTTACATTATTACAATACCTTTCTCCCCATCCTGGCACAAACGGCTCGATTAGTTCTGGGTTTGATGAAGGCCTGCCTTCCGAAAAAAAACGAAATGTGTTGTGATTGGTTAGCTGTCCCAGTGCGTTGTGTTTGGCGAACAGCTTAGACGGTGTTTCAGTACTGCCCCGCCCCTTGCCAAAGCAGCAAGTTCCTTCCGTCTGCTCCGGTTTAGTTAAGGATGGCGTCAATATTGCAATATCAATTTGAGCCGGATTCAGACCCAGAGAATATTGAACAAGAGGATTGCGCAGAACCCTTGCACACACAGATATTGCTAGACATTAGAGTGGTAACGTTATTGTTGTTGTTTGTTTGTTTTTTTTGCCTAAATCACGTTTTAGATAGTTTCAACAAATGCTTAAAAATAACTGCATTTACAGATAAGTGCATATGTATTATGTTTATTGTTCTTTAATTCTAACATTATAACCAGGGGTGCACATAAGTGGTCAACAGGTCCGCATGCGCGACCAAAATAAAAAATGCGCTGTATAAATAAGTTCTGACTGCGCATTTGCGTATCGACATGGATGACAGCTGTTAATGCACAATTACCATTTTAGATCGACAAACTGTACTGTATAACATTTCTATTCAAATTGAAAGCATAAATCTAGTCTACCCGCTGCCGTTTTCAAAACACAATGCAAAACTGTGACATTTCATTCACTGACGCTCTTCAATCGGCAGCGCTAAACCCGGAAGCGCATGTACTTATATATATATATATACCATATACTTACTTGCCGGCAACCTGCCAAAATAAAATCCTGCTGATTTTAAGGTCGAAAATGATGAAAATTCATATAAAAAAAAAAAAGAAGTATATATTAGCACTTTGTTTTTAAGTTTACTATAAAATAATTGTATTTGTATTTAATACTTCCTTTTTATTTTAAAATATAATAGTATTATCACACTTTATTATTTT